CACCTAGTTTAACTATATCTGTATCGTCTACCTAGATGTGGCCTTAAATCATTTTGGGGCCTTAAATATTTTTTGGTACAAGACAAAATATATATATATTAAAAAAAAGACAAAATATATCTTAAAACAGGCAGGCCGAGTCAAGCTTTCTGTCTCCATCCATCTAAATACGTCTTTCGTGGCTCCAAACCTCATTCACTCCCTAGAATGAAGGGCTTCCCCATGTCCTACTAGAATAGGCGTTTACAGCGTGTATACAGAGCTGCTATGATTCAGCACGGACTTGATGGCAATGGTTTGGTCTTCTAACCCTGAACACTATTGCATGAATAAAGGAATGGATATATGCATGGGCAAACACGTCCATCAGTTTATTCTCTTGAAAAAAAATGTGTTCATTGGCTAAAATTAACCTTCAAAAATCAAATTTTATGTGGGGGGGAAAAAGATTGGGAAGCCCTTGCCATACTGCCTGGTACAGGTAAATGTCCCCAGTAAGCTGCAGGTGATCAATATTAGTATTATGTCTTTGCTGCTGGCTCATGGCAGCTCTCTATACTAAAGAATAAAACCCTGCCATGACCTGTGCTGTCCCCACCGTGGGTTGAACAGGCGATCATGGCCCGTAGCACTTTCATTGGCTGATGTTCAGAAGTAGATCATCACAGGTCCTTTTATCTAGTCCACCTTGGTCTAGAAGGTCTGCTCAGACCTGCTCAGCATTGCAGCACCATACAAGGCTCCTGTGACAGGTGGGCAAGGCATAAGATACAATGGCCAAAAAGTGAACCAGAGTCTCCTATGTGCAAGTCAAGAATCCTACCACTGAATCATCACAGCATCCCATTATCATCATAGTGGTGGTATGACCAAAGCAGCAGTTCTCAATCTGTGGGTCGCAACCCCTTTGGGGTCCAACATCCAATTTATAACAGTAGCAAAATTACAGTTAGGAAGTATCAATGAAAATAATTTTATGGTGGGGGGGGGGATCACCACAACATGAGGAACCGTACGAAAGGGTCACTGCATCAGGAAGGTTGAGAGCCACTGAGCTACAGTATCTTCCTGAGCTCTGAGTAGCCATGCTGTCAGACAAAAGCATCGTAAACTCAGTCCTGGCAGATGCAATTAGGTTAAAATGGAATCTCCTCATTTGATCTCACTTTTGATCTGTTTTGGACTTGTCCCAGTTCTTTATGTTTTCTGCTTTTTTTCGGTGGAGGGTTTTCTCTGTTTTGTCATTGTTGTTGGTGTTGTTTGTTTGCTTCTTGTTATATGTTTTTCTGTATATGGAACTCAAGCTGGATATATTTATAGGGACAGTAATCGGATTAATAATTACATAGAGGTGTGGCAGGGGAGG